CGAAGAAAGGCAACAGCATAAAACCATGGAAGTGAAGCGCAAATAGGGAGCTATCCACTCACAGACATTTTTGTGATTTGTTTTAATTGTTTTTTCTTTGGGGTCGTAGTTGCCAATGCTTAGCGGTGCTGTAAAAGACCACTAAACTTCCTCTCCCGCTACGGCCCTCTTACTGCAATAAATGGATTCTCCTAGCTATAAATACTGAGGTTAAGCCAGTTTTAGAAAATAATAATAGTACAGGACTGGCGTCACAATGGCACCAGAGCACCAATAGGTAGCATTTGTGGGGCAAAGCACATCATATTACCATAGTATCACCTTATATCACTGAGTAAAGTTCAACAACATGGGAAGTTGTCTAGCTAAATGAGAGACTGCAAACGATGAGGATGAATGAGGAAGTCAATACTTTACACTTATCTAAAATGTATAGAAGAAAAAATAATAATTAAAAAAATACACCAGAGGGAGACAACTCTGCACACACACTTAAAAAAGGACTATGCAAAAAACTTACACGTTTATTGATGCTATATTAAATATTCAAATGTTATCCATGACTTCTGAATGTCAGACTTGATTTTTATTTTTTTTTTGTTCCCTGGATGTTTCAATATTTAACTAATTTTTTCATGTTTAGGGAGTCTTCTCCTGGAGATCTAGAAGCAGAATAGCTCCCTTCCCCTTTTTGCTTTAACCTAATTAACAGGAATAATAACTGTAAATGGCAAAACAGGAAATGAGGGGTTTTTTTCTTAATCCACCCATTCATTTGCTAATTTTTGTAGCACTTCTTAACAGTCTTGCTCAAGATCAAATACTTTGTTCAGAATCTTAGTTGCCATTCAGTTGCAGTTTAATTTGTATACTGGTTATGAACTATTGTTGCTTAGCAATTATTAACTATTGTCTAAACATACTTAAGCACTCAGAGAAAATAGAATAAGTATATATGTTAAAAAAGTCATTAATGAACTTAATTTCTCTTATTGTACTTTATATTACTTACGTCATTTTGTCCATCTGACCCTGAAGCATTCTCTGTAGTATATGAGTAGTCTTGGAATAAATACGATAGTAAAAATTATTTAATGATATTAGCTAGTACTTTTTAACCTAAGAGAATCAACCATTTAACTCAAACTACCTTTAGTACTATTAAGCTGTCATTTGCATCAAATATATATTGAGTCAGAAAAATAAAAGTTCTCAAAACAAAGGTAATAACATTTGGATAAAGCTGTGCTCTAACACATCTCCTGTGTTCCTTACAATTGCTATGGAGACCTGAGGACAGACACAAAAATTTGAATTACAGAAATACCATTTGCCAGTTCAGTTAACACATTTTACCAAATACAAGTTGAAAAAAATTCAATTTTCAATGCATACAGAAATAGCTTCGCTGTGAACAGCTGTGAAAAAAAAAACCAACAACTTTGTATCAACAGTAAATGGGTTCAATGCTTAAAGCACTTACTGGGCAATATATTTAGCACAGACTGTTAAACCACTGAAGTTTTGTACCTAACCAGCTAGGGTTTATCATCAAATTGAATGGTCATTACAAGTGTCAGAACCACCCAACCCCCATCAAATATAAAAACCAGTCAAAGTTATGAAAAAGACAATACGTGTTTTTCTTAAAGGGGAGTAAGGAGGTAAACACTACCAAAAGAAAGCGTGTCAATACTTGAGAACGTCACTCCTTTCCTCAAGGCAACACCATGCAGCGCTGCACTGCCTGACAGATGGAGTGACTGCAGCACTGTAGCTCCAGACAGGGCTGAAGCTATTTTACATGGGAGCACAACATCTGAAAGCCACCGCTTACCAAGTAGTAGTTCCTCTCTTGTTAAGGGCATCTGATATTTCTCTTTCACCTACTTTCAGGTAAAAGCCAGTTGTCACTACAGCAGAAGCATTCCAGCTCCAAAATCCTCTGCGGCCCGGGGAGGCTGGTGCCAAATTAGCCCCCACCCCGCTGCCCTCTGAGCCTACCTGCTCCTGCACTGATGTCAAAGCAA